ATTATAAAAGTGTAGCCCTCCTTGTTCTCGGGACTGCACTCCCTTGCCTGCCCACTTGAATCTCTCACAAGCATCCTATGCCCATAAACTCACTCTTCACCTCTTTGCTCACACTGAACTCTGTCTGTGATGAGACGAAAGAACCTGAGGTTCAGTAAGTCCTGGCACCAGGTGAGGGGTTTTCATTAAAAGACAGTGGTTTCGAATCCCCCCCTCCAAGTCAGGGACTGTGGGGTCAAGTCCCACCCTGAGGTGCGTCTGGGTTCAAGTCCCACCGAGGAAGGAGGGCAGTTTCAGTTCCTCCTCAGCCTTTCACTGGCTCCAACCAAGCCGTCCCACCCCAGCACCTCCTCCCTCACAGCGTGTGAGGCTGCAGAGTCTTAGAGCTGGAGGCCACGCGGAGAGCCCTCTGTTCTGTAGATGGGAAACTGAATCAGAGTGGTAAAGCAACTTGTGAGAGGTCACACAGCAAGTTAATCGCAGAGTCCAGGTGGACCCGGCCCCGTGGTTTCCAGTCTGTCTCCACTAAACCGCCTCTGCTCATCTGCTTTCGGCTTGTCAGTCGACAGGCGTCTTGAGCAAAAGCACTGCAGACAGGTTTAACAATATCTGAAGTGCAGACACGACCCCAGAACTGCATCTGTGTCCATTTGGAAAGGCCATGGGAATAAGAGAGGTGAGAAATTTAGGGTGGAAGTCCTGCGATTTCCTCCAGGCAGAGGAGGACACCATCACTGACAATTCACTACGTGCTAGGTGTGATGCGCTTCCTCGCGTTGTCCCACTTAATCCCCCCAACAGAGATAATCACCCCCATTTTACAAGCAAATTGAGGCTCAGAGAGGTAAATAGAGTGACCGACTCCAATTTTCCTGGAAATCTCCCTCTTTTTACAACTGAAAATCCCATGTCACAGGAACCCCTCTGTCTCAGGCAAGCTAGAACGATTGGTCACCTGCAGGGTAAGTAGCCCACCCAAAGAACTGGATCCCAGAGATTCCAACCCAGACCTGACACCAGGTCTCAGGCTATCAGGCTCTGCTGCACCTCTGGGTAAATAGATAAACCCAAGAGGGAGAAATAAGTACATAGACAAGCAAGTCAAGATGGAGTGGGACGTAGGCTGGAGGTGGGTAGGTACGGAGGAGGGGCAGCTCTGAAGGCAGGTCAGCCCTGGGTCGCCGCAGCTGAGTTAAGCTGTCTGGGAGGTCGGAGGCTGCTGGCTGACATGCCAGGCGGGAACAAACAGAGGCTGTTCTATTCCTCCCTCTGTATCCCAGGAGGACTCTGTTGATCCCGATAACAGCCCTGTTATCTCGGCCAGGTCTCTGGGTCCTTGCCAGACAGTGACGAGGGGGTTAAGATCTGAGGCTCTGACAAGACCCACCTCCCTGGCACCCCTGCACACTCCCCATCCTCGGCTGAGAGCCTGCTTGTTGGGGCTGGGTGGGGGGCGCAAGTAGAGCACCATAGGGCAGGTGCTCCCCACCCAAGGGGGCCCCCCGGGAGACCAGGGCCTCTCTGCTCAGACACGGGATCTCTGTGTCACCAGGAAAAGGGCGTCACGGTTGCGGACCAGCAGCTGGACGTCAGGCACGCCGGGTGCTGCCTCTTGTTACCCTCTCCGTCCGCATGACCTCCACCCACAGAAGAGGACGCTGAGGCTCAGAAGCTGACATTCCGTCACACAGCTCGGCAGTGACGCCATGTGTCAGCAAACCCCAGCTCTCCCTGCCTCCCAACCCTGGTGCTACACAGGCTGTAAAATGATGACGTGAAGATGGACTATGTCCGGGGCAGTCTGTGTGATCCTGTCCCCACACCGCACCTCCTCCGCCCCCTCCTCCACCTGGCTGACTCCTCCCCATCCCTGGACACCCAGCTTGAGGGCCCTCGCCTGCAGGCAGTCTGCCTGATCTCTAGCCTGTTTCAGAACCCCCAGGGGTCTGTGCTTGGGCAACCAGGGTTCTTACGCTTTAGGTTGTAGCAGGTCCTTGTCAGTCTCCTCCTGCACTAGGGTGCCCAGGGGCCAAGAACTGATGGCCCACCCCCCCCCCCGAAAAAATAAACATACTTAACAAATTGCAAGATCATCTTTAGCTGCTCCTGAAACAGTGGCATCCTGCAGGCAAGGGCCCACTAAAAATTCTTCTAGCAGGAGCCTCTGCTTCACCCACTCCCCCCAACCCCATGAACCCTTGACCTTCATCTGTCACCTCACAACTCAATGTGTGGTCCCTGGATCAGCAGCATCAGTACAACCAAGGGCCTGCTGGAAATGCAGAACCTCAGACAACCCAGGCCCCTGGCACATAGCAGAGCTTCATTAACATTAGCTCTTGTTATAGGATCGGAACCTTGCTACAAACCCTACTATGTAGCACCCATCATCCCCATTCCTAGTTGGGGAGCTTGGCTTCAGGGAGGAGAAATTACCTTCTCCGGGTTCAACAGCCAGGAAATGATAGACGTGTGTTTCAAACCTAGGGTTTGTTGCTCTCCCGAGCTGGTGGAAGTTAGTAATGATATCCCACGTGATGGAAAGAGATGGGAAATCTACATCTATCAAGCCTGCACTCCATACAAAGCCCTTCACCTGGCTCATCTCTCGTGATCTTCCCGACCCCTTTGTGAAGTAGGCGGGTAGACAGTCTCATTTTACAGACAAGAATACAAGACTCCTGTGGGCAGGGGGGAACTTGCCCGAGGACCACAGTCAGGAAATGGCAGTCACGGGGTGGAACTCAGTTCTTTTTACCTGAAGCCAGCACAATGCCTGTTCTTGACCCAGAGGAGCGGAGCCGTGGACACAGGCTACGGGGGGGTGGCTGGTTCACTGCTCCAGCTCCCTCCCATCACGTCTTCCACCTTGGAGAGCCTGTGTCCTTGGGTCAAAATTCACACTTCCTTCCCCCCTCTAACCCTCTGCCTTCAGCTTAATCAGTAACCACTTCCGACACATCACAAACACCTGCCTATCATGGCAATCAATCGGCCGCCAGTGTATGATGTCACCCCCCAGCTATCTCCACCAGCTGCCGGCAGGTGCCGGGGATTCCTGGGATCACCCTCGTGCGTGCCTAGGGCTCACCTAGCACGTCCTTCTGTGCGTGCTCCTGGATGTGCGTCTCCGCAGCAGACAGCTCACAGGGCGAGGAACACAAGGGCGCGACCTGAGAGGCACGTTCCCGCGGCAGCCCCGTCCCTCTCACTGCTGAGATTTGGGCAGATGTCTCAGCTTCAGCTTCTCCACCACTAAAACAAGTAGGTGATCTCCCAAATATACAAACAGTTCATGCAGCTCAATATGAAACAAACAGCCCAATCAAAAAAATGGACCCAAGACCTAAATAGACATTTTCCCAAAGAAGACAGACAGATGCCCAAGAGGCACATGAAAAGATGTTCAGTATCACTAGCTGTTAGAGGAATGCAAACCAAAACTACAATGAGGTATCACCTCACAAGGTCAGAAAGGCCATCACAAAAAACTCTACAAAAAATAAGTGCTGGAAAGGGTGCGAGAAAAAGGGAACTAACTCCCTTGCTCTGTTGGTGGGAATGTAAATTGATTCAGCCACTGTGGAGAACTATGGAGGTTCCTTAAAAAGCTGAAAGTAGAACTGCCATACAACCCAGCAATCCCTGGGCGCATACCCTGAGAAAACCATAATTCAAAACGACACACGGAGCCCAGTGTTCATTGCAGCACTATTTACAATAGGTAGCCAGGACATGGAAGCAACCTAAATGTCCATAGACAGATGAATGGATAAAGAAGATGTGTATATGTGTGTGTGTGTGTATATATATGTGTATATATGTGTGCATATATGTGTATACACACACACACATACACACACACACAATGAAGTGTTACTTAACCATAAAAAGGAACAGAATTTTGGTCATCTGTAGAGACGTGGATGGATCTAGAGTCCGTCATACAGAGTGAAGCAAGTCAGAAAAAGAAAAACAAATATCGCATATTAACACCTCTAGTAGCTCAGTTGGTAAAGAATCCAACTGCAGTGCAGGAGACCCCGGTTCAATCTCGGGGTCGGGAAGATCCGCTGGAGAAGGGACAGGCTGCCCACTCCGGTGTTCTTGGGTTTCCCTTGTGGCTCAGCTGCTAAAGAATCTGCCCGCAATGCGGGAGAGCTGGGTTCCATCCCTGGGTTGGGAAAATCCCCTGGAGAACGGAAAGGCTACCCACTCTAGTATTCTGGCCTGGAGAATTCCATGGACTGTTTAGTCCATGGGGTCGCAGAGAGTCGGACACAACTGAGCGACTTTCACTTTCACTTTTCACTTTCAACGTGTATACGTTGAATCTATTAAAACGGTACAGATGAACCTATTTGCAAAGCAGACGTAAAGACACAGACACAGGAAACAAAATATATGGACACCAAATGGGAAGGAGGTAAGAAGAGTTGAGAGACTGGGGTTGACAGGTATACACTACTGTGCATGAAATGGGTAACTAATGAGAAGCTGCTGAACAGCATGGGGAACCCTTTGTAAAATAAAATCGGTGGGTGACAGCTTCCGAGTGATCGGGAGAAGGGTTCGGAGTGTGTGGATGCGGCTGGAGGGTCGCAGTCCTCACTGACTGTGCTCAGTCGTGTCCGACTCCTTGTAACCCCATGGACTGTAGCCTGCCAAGTTCCTCTGTCCATGGGATTTTTCAGGCAAGAATGCTAGAGGAGGCAGCCATTCCCTTCTCCAGGGGATCTTCCCGACCCAGGGGTCAAACCTGTATCTTCTGTGACTCCGGCACTGAAAGTGGATTCTTTTTTATATTTATTCATTTATTTGGCTGCGTCAGGTCTTATTCACATCCTGCGGGATCTTTTGTTGTGGCTCCAGGACTCACCAGTTGCATGGGCTCAGTCGCAAGTGGACTCTTCACCTCTGAGCCCTCAGGGAACCCCCCCACACACACCAAGAATCAAAACACCAGTGACAGTAGCAGGGCAGGGTCTGGAGCCGCAGAGATGGCTCGAGGGCAGAAGAGTCGTTTAGAAGAGGAGGCGGAACGTGGGCTCCCGCAGTGGCACTGTGTGTGGACCCTGTGGAGGGGTGCCCGGGGGTGCCGGGGTGGGGGGCAGGCAGCGCTGGCCGCAGGCAACAAGGTGTAAGCAGACTGCTAAGGGTAGCCTTTCCTCACCTTCTGCAGAAGCAGGACCTGTGGACCCAGCGAACCCCGCGGGGGCCGGGAGCCTTGGAAAACAGCTCTTGGGGTGACTCTCCCCGTTTCTTCAGATGGCCCCGGTGACTTCTAGAACAAGAAACACGGGCTGCTGATGAATATAGCCAGGATTTGTGAGCCCTGGGGGCCCAGGAGGCGCCCTCGGATTCCCAGACCCAACCTGGTAAACTCTGGCGAGGGCCAGATGTCTGAGGAGCAGTGGGCAGCCGGACCCACTGAAACCTGGGTGGGTGCTATTAACACAAGCCTGTTCATCCGTGGGGTTGGAGAGACAGGTTCCGGATAAAGAAGGATTCCTGGACACCCAGCTGGCAGAGCCGGGGCTTCAAGTCGAGAGCCCTGCCAGCTGCCCCCTCCCACCTGGCCTCAGGGCGAAAGTCACACCCAGGGGGCGCCCCCAAGAAGCCCTTATAAAGTGAAACCTTCTCCGTGAGTCAGCCGGGGCCTGGCAGGCCCAGCGTGTTCGCTGGAAAGGTATTCTCTTTTCAGCTCCTTTCTGCCCTTTCACTGCTGGGGAGGTGAGGTCATCGCTAGTAAACACTCTGCTTTGCGGCGAGCTTCCTCTGAACGCTCTGCTTCTGTTTAACACGCCAAACCTCAAGGGAGGCTGGCAGCTCAGAGTCGGACAAAGGGCTCTGGGCTGAGTCGGAGGCCTGGCTTCGAGTCCCAGCTCAGCCCCTTTCTAGTTGTGAGAATTTGGCCGATGCAAGCCCCGTCTCTGGGCCTCCGTGCCTCTGTTGATAAAATGAAGTCACTTCTCCTAGAAGAAGTCTAAAGAAGCACTCAGCACCACACGCTCATCCAGTCGACACTATCTGTTGAGTACTTACGTGTGCAAACTCTACGGTGAGGAGTGGCTCAGTGGCGAAGAGCCCGCCTGCCGAGGCAGGAGAAGGGGGTTCAGCCCCGGGGTCAGGAAGACCCCCTGGAGGAGGAAAAGGCAACCCACTGCAGTGTTCTTGCCTGGGAAACCCTACGGACGGGGAGTCTGGCGGGCTACAGTCCACGGGGTCGTGAAAGAGTCGGACACAACTTAGCAACACACGTGTGAGCACACGCACACGTACATGTATTCCGTCTGATACACACACACACGGTTCCCACTGTCTGCCCTTGGGAGATTCACATCTGGTGAAGACAGATAGGAGTCACACAATCCTACAAATGCATGTTACCACGCGGCCGTGATGGGGGCTGAGTTCTGCGGTGGCCCAGTCTGGGGTGTGCAGGGCAGGACAGGGGGCCCCTGAAGCGCCGAGCAGGCAGCTGCCGGCTTGGAGGTTCCAGGCCAGCTCCTCCCCCAAAGAGTTCCACTGGCTTTGCAGAGACGTTCCGGAATATCAATGGGTGAGATTTAATTTGGGGTAAAATCAGACACCATCATCTATTCGATGATAATATGGACCAAAGGCAACAGGTATGGAAGACTTTACAACTGAAAACATTCTCTCCCCCTCCTTTTATTTTTCTGTGATTCGAAAAAGCACTGCCACGGTTTGACTTTAGAGATAGCCTGTGTCAGCCCAGGGGACAGGAGAGCAGTTTTCCATAGGAGGCCCGTGTGAGCCCAGCTAAAGTCGGTCCTGAGTCACAGGACACAGTGCGCCTGGAGCACCCGGGACAACCCCTGGGTTCTGCCAAAGAGTAAATCACACTGGCCGTGGCTCCTGTCCTTCCATTCTAAGAGCAGAAGGAGATTCAGGTCCCAGGTCTCAGCAGCTTCTGTCCTACAAAGTGTACGCTGTCTACAAGGAAACACAGTGCGTAAGCGCCTTGATGTTGATCGTGGGAATGATGTTTTTGTATATGACGCCAAAAACAAAGGCCACAAAACCAAAAATAAACAAGTGGCTCTATAGCAAAATAAAAGGCTTCTTCACGGCAAAGGAAACTACCCACAAGATGAAAAGACAGCCTATGGAACAGAGGGAAATATTTGCAAATCATGTATCTGTTAAGAGATCAACATGTAAAATATGTTAAGAATTCATGCAACTCAATAGCAAAAAAACAAGTAAACCAAAAAAAAAAAAAACTGATTAAGAAATGAGCAGAATTTGCAGCAATATGGATGGACCTAGAGATTATCATATTAAATGAAATAAGTCAGACAGAGAAAGACAAATAGTGTGAAATAAGACAAAGAGTGTGAATTTATTCAGTTCAGTTCAGTCGCTCAGTTGTGTCCAACTCTTTGCAACTCCACGCAGCACACCAGGCTTCCCTGTTCATCACCAGCTCCCAGAGCTTGCTCAAACTCATGTCCATCATGTCGGTGATGCCATCCACCATCTCATCCTCTGTCATCCCCTTTTCCTCCTGCCCTCAATCTTTCCCAGCATCAGGGTCTTTTTCAATGAGTCAGTTCTTCGAATCAGGTGGCCAAAGTATTACAGCATCAGCTTCAATATCAGGCCTTCCAATGAATATTTAGGGTTGATTTCCTTTAGGATTCACTGGTTGGATCTTCTTGCAGTCCAAGGGACTCTCAAGAGTCTTCTCCAACACCATAGTTCAAAAGCATCAACTCTTCGGCTCTCAGCTTTCTTTGTGGTCCAACTCTCACATCCATACATGACTACTGGAAAAACCATAGCTTTGACTAGAAGGACCTTTGTTCACAAAGTGATGTCTCTGCTTTTTAATATGCTGTCTAGGTTGGTCATGCTTTTCTTCTAAGGAGCAAGCGTCTTTTAATTTCATTTCTGCAGTCACCATCTGCAGTGATTTGGGAGCCTAAGAAAAGAAAGTCTGTCACTGTTTCCATTGTTTCCCCATCTATTTGCCATGAAGTGATATCACTTATAAGTGGAATCTAAAATATGACGCAAATGAGCTTATCTATGAAACAGAAACAGACCCACAGATGCAGAAACCAGACGTGGCTGCCAAGGCGGAGGAGGCGGGATGGGGAGGGAAGGGCTGGGAGCTGGGGTTAGCAGATGGAAATTATTATACAGAGAGTGGGTAAACAACGAAGTCCCACTGTATAGAACAAGGAACCATATTCAATATCCTGTGATAAACCGTAATAGAAAAGAATATGAAAAAGAATATATGTGTGTGCGTGTGTGTGTATGTGTAACGGAATCACTTTGCTATACAACAGAAATGAACACAACATCATAAATCAACTATACTTAAGTAATTTTTCTAAATGGGCAGAAGACCTGAATGGACATTTTTCCAAAGAAGCATGTAAATGGCCAAACTGTACACCAAAATGTGCTCAGCATGACTTCACCAGGGAAATGCAAATTAAACCCATAATGAGGTATATTTCATACCTGTTAGAGTGGCTATTATCAAAAGATAAGAGATAACAAGTATCAGCCAGGATATGGAGGAAAGGGAACCCTCTTGCACTGTTGGTGGGAATGTAAACAGGTGCAGCCACTATGGAGAACAGTATGGAGGTTTCTCAAAATATTAAAAATAGAACTACCATAGGATCTAGCAATTCCACTTCTGGGTATAAATTCACAAGAAAGGCAAATAGTATTTCAAAGAGATATTTGTATTTCCTTATTTATTGCAGCATCATTCACAACACTCAAGTGTCCATCGTCAGATAAATGGATAAAGCACTGGTACATTTATTACCGTGGAATATTACTCAGCTATGAGAAAGCGAAGAAGAACTAAAGAGCCTCTTGATGAAAGTGAAAGAGGAGAGTGAAAAAGTTGGCTTAAAACTCAACATTCAGAAAACTAAGGTCATGGCATCCGGTCCCATAACTTCACGGCAAATAGATGGGGAAACAATGACAGTGTTTATTGTTAAAGTCTGTCATAAACAGTGACAGACTTTATTTGAGGGGGGGGCCTCCAAAATCACTGCAGGTGGTGACTGCAGACTTGAAATTAAAAGATGCTTGCTCCTTGGAAGAAAAGTTATGACCAACCTAGACAGCATATTAAAAAGCAGAGGTATTACTTTGCCAACAAAGGTCTGTCTAGTCAAAGCTATGGCTTTTCCAGTAGTCGTGTACGGATGTGAGAGTTGGACTATAAAGAAAGCTGAGCACTGAAGAATTGATGCTTTTGAACTGTGGTGTTGGAGAAGACTCTTGAGAGTCCCTCGGACAGCTAGGAGATCCAACCAGTCCATCCTAAAGGAAATCAGTCCTGAATATTCATTGGAAGGACTGATGCTGAAGCTGAAACTCCAATACTCTGGCCACCTGATGCAAAGAACTGATTCATTGGAAAAGACCCTGATGCTGGGAAAGATAGAAGGCAGGAGGAGAGGGGGGCGACAGAGGATGAGATGGTGGATAGCATCACTGACTCGATGGACATGAGTTTGAGTAAACTCCAGGAGTTGGTGATGGACAGGGAGGCCTGGCGTGCTGCGATTCATGGGGTCACAAAGAGTCAGACATGACTGAGGAACTGAGCTGACCTGAACTGATGAGAAAGAAGGAAATCCTGCCACTTGTGACAACGTGGGTGGACTTTGAGGGCTTTAAGTGAAAGTGAAATTCCATACAGTCCATGGATTTCTCCAGGCCAGAATACTGGAGTGGGTAACCTTTCCCTTCTCCAGGGGATCTTCCCAACCTAGGAATCGAACCCAGGTCTCCCACATTTCAGGTGGATTCTTTACCAGCTGAGCCACAAGGGAAGCCCAAGAATACTGCAGTGGGTAGCCTATCCCTTCTCCATCAGATCTTGCTGACCCAGGAATCAAGCCAGGGTGTCCTGCACTGCAGGCGAATTCTCTACCAACTGAGCTACCAGGGAAGCCCTGAGGTCATTATGCTGAGTGAAATAAGCTAGAAAGAGAAAGAGAGATACTGCATGAAATTCTTTAGCAACGCAGAAACATAGACCTGAGTGTCAACATACAGGCTCTCCAAAGTCACACCTAACACATAGATCCATCGCAAAACTCATTACTGGACACTCCATTGCACTCCAGA